TGTCCAGCACATGTAGATGCTTAATAAATATTTGATGGATAAATGAACAAAGTAGATGCATAGCCTGTTAAAGAAGGAACCAGGAGAGCCACACAGCCACTGAAGAACTCACATTTAGATTCTTGATGCTTTTTCAAATGGACTGACACATCCCATCACAGAAATACACTGGCAGGACTGAAAGCAAAAAATGTTTTATGAAGCAAGCAACTTAAGTGTGGACCCACTTCCACAGCATACTTTCTGTAGTGCAGTATAAACTTGTATTTGAAAGAATAAATCCAGCAATTGTTATGTGAACAGAACACTTATATTATTTGTTGTTATTATGGGGAGTGCTATATGGGTATATGTAAAAAAGCATTAAATATAAGTGTTTAAGATATATACTGCAGAGTTTATAGGATAGTTTTAAAGTTTTTTGTTAAAATACTGGGAGCCTCAAAAAACTGGGCCCCTTCCCCCTAGCCCTTGAAAAAGCCTTGATGAAAAGATAAGCTCTAATGGACCTGGGCCATGGATATTTTATCTCTGTATCACTCCCTGCCCCCCACACCAGAGTCTATCACAGGGTAGGGTACACAGTATACATTCAGAGCTTGATCTATAGCTTGCAGATTTTATCCAGAATCTTGAGCTATCAGCTTAACTTCTCTCTAGGCCCTCATGGTGTGGGCCCCCATGCTTCAATTATCATGTCCTTCATTATCAATATCAGCATATTCTGTTGAAGCTATATTCGAACATAGCTTGAATCCAATACTTCTGGTCCAAGTCACCATCAGCTCTTGCCTGGACAACTGCAACCATTTCCTATTTGACTTTTTTGCTTTTGACCTCAAATCATTACATTCAACTCTCTACACAGCAGCCAAAATGATCTTTTGGAAACATAAGCCAGAAAAGTCATTCTGTGACTTGAAACCACCAATGGCTTGCAGCATGCTTAGAGAAAGACCCCAGCTCCCTACCAGATTCCTTTCTCTGTCTCTTCTTACATAGCCCTCTATAACACAACTCGGACCACTTCTCTTATCTCATTCATACCACTAGGCCCCTCACTCAGTAAATTCCAGGAGCAGATTCCTCAAACATCCTAAATTCATTCCAGCCACAAAATCTTTGCAATTATTGCTTCTGCCTGGAATAGTGCCCCCTCAGTACCTACCCCCTGATCTTTGCATTGCTGCCTTCTCATAGTGTGGTGCTCAGTTCAAAGGTCATCTCATCAGCAAGCCCTTCTCTGACCATCGAAAGGACGTAATCACTATCCAATATTATTTTTCTTGCTTGTTTGTTTCCTTTACTAGAGAGTCAGCTTCATGAAAACAGGAGCCTTGTCTGTCTTAACACATCACCATAGTAGCTAGTTATCTGCCTTCTCCTTACCCTTATCTCCTGCGCACACAAAAACATATAGTTCCATCTGCCCTTCCACCAGACTCAACCACCTATGGGTCTGTCCCCATGGCCAAGAGATGCTCCAGGGTAGGACCTTGCCTTCTGTTGCTCTCCCCACTCCACAATTATCCCAAGGCCTTGGACTTAGCAGTCCCTCAACCAATGCTTGTTGACTTGAATGGACTTTCAATTCCCTCCTGGATTCTGAGAGCACTGCTGGGCTTCACATTTAGGAAAATTTTCCCTCTTCAACTTACAACAAAACTGAAGTCAAATCCCAATGGCAAATCTTAGAAAAATTCAAGCAATGAAATACATGATATTATTGGGGTTTAACCTATGAAAACATACCTATACATGAGTCCATACTAACATTAAAAAATAGTTGAATTAATGAGGGAGAGAGGGCAGCTTTTTCTCACAAAATTCCAGTTAATAAATATAAAATTAACTCTCCACAAGATACCTGTTACCTTTAAAGAGGCAAATAGTAACTTACAGTGGAGAAACCTGGCAGATAACCCCTTCACCAAGTAGTCAAGGTCGAAGACGTTTCACCATTACATATTACCAAGAAAGCCATATCACTTCCATGGTCTTCCTGCCAAAAATGTCTAACATTGATCTTGAGAAAACATCAGATAAACCTAAATTAAGGGACATTCTACAAAATAACAGACTAGTACTCTTTAAAAGTATAAGGTTTTAAAAGGAAAAACAAAACTATTGAGTAGACAACTAAATGAAAAATGGCATCCTGGGCTAGAAAAGAGGATATTAGTGAAAAAACTGGCAAAATTTGTGTGTAAAGTCTATAAATTAGATAACAGTAATGGTAATTTCCTTGTTTTAAAATTGAACTAAACTATGATTATATGGTAACAGGGGAAGCTGGAAACTCACTGCCATATTTTTGCAACATTTTGGTAAACTCTAAAATCAATTCAATTACAAGTGAAAACCATTTCAAGTATATGTAGTTTAAACACAATCATCCCTCCAAACACACTGTATGAAGGAATCTCAGGGGGTGGTGAGCAGGCATGGAGAGGCCCGGCCCTAGGGGAGGGGCTTTTGTGCGCCTGTTTTCGCCAGCACGCGCGTCCTACCCGGCAGCTCCGGGAGGGGGCAGCACGAAGCGGCGGCGCTTGATTCCGGGGGCGGGCCGCGGCGCGGGGCCGGAAGCGGTGGTGCCTGAGCCCGGGGGCGTGGCGTGACCGGGGGAGGGGTCGGAAGTGGCGGCGGGCCCGGGGCTGCGAACTTTGGTCGCGGTCGGGTGGGCCTCGCTGAGCAGTCGGTCCGGCGCCCTGTGACGCCGCTATTGCGAGCGGCCGCTGCCATGTCGTCGGTGAGCCCCATCCAGATCCCGAGGCGCCTCCCGCTGCTGCTCACCCACGAGGGCGTTCTGCTGCCGGGCTCCACCATGCGCACTAGCGTGGACTCGGCCCGCAACCTGCAGCTGGTGCGGAGCCGCCTGCTCAAGGGCACGTCGCTGCAGAGCACCATCCTGGGCGTCATTCCCAACACCCCCGACCCGGCCAGCGACGCGCAGGACCTGCCGCCGCTGCACAGGTAGGCCGTGCGACCCGCGCGGCAGCTGCGGGCGGCGCGGCCTCCGCCTGCGACCCCGAGCCGGGCCAGGCCGGATTTGGCTTCGGGGTCCCGGGGTGCCGAGGCTTGCAAGCAGCCTGCGCAGCTTGGTTCTGCTTCCTACGTCTCATGTCTCAAATGGGGATGACTGCTGCTTTGGGTAGTGAAAACTGTTAGCTGCCGCTGCATTTGGTTTTAATTATCCCTGCCCCCAGGTGTTCAGACTCTCAGAGTTACTGACTTTGCAGGCTCCTCTTTCTTTTCCTGCTTTCCCTTCCTCTTCCTTCCTTCTTACTGTCTTTTTCGTTCTCTTGACTAAGACACATACTATTGCACACGTTTTTTCTTTTCCTGTTGCAACCTAAACTGCACTGCCCCATCCATTAACTTTTGTGTGCCTTTCTTCCACACCCCCTGCCTACCCTTTCTCTCTCCCAGTTAGTATTTATGTTCTCCTTAAAGGGCCTTTCCTGCCCACATTTTCTCTTACCTCCCTTTCTGGAACTTTCCTATCTTTTCGTCTCTCTTCTCTCATATCATAGCATTTCCTTTCGTTTCTGTTCTTAGGCCCCAATCTTACCATTAGATTGCTCTTCATCATGGCCCTAGTTGTGTGACAGGGTGAGAGACTTAACCTGTGCCTGTTCATCTGTAATTAGAAACTGACTGCATTTATCTCTTAGATGTGTTAGGAAGAGAAATGAAATAATATGTGTAATCTGCTTGGTTGATATTGCGCTGTCCAGTACTGTAGTCACTAGCCACATGTGGCTGTAGAGCCTCACTTGAAATGAGGCTCCTCCAAATTAAGATACTAGAGTGACCAGTTGCCCCCGTTTGTTGGGGACTGTCCAGGTTTTAGCATTCAAAGTCGTACATCCCAAGAACTACCTTTGTCTCAGACACACCAGGGGATTAGTCGCTGTAAGTGTATAGTATACACTAGATTTTGAAAATTTAGTATGAAAAATGTTTTTTTGATTAAGACTATATATTGGAATGTTAATATTTTGGCTATTTATGGTTAAATAAAATACTAGCAATTCACCTGTTTCTTTTTACTTTATAATGTGGATACAAAAATTACACCTGTGCCCCTTGTTATATTTCTGTTGGTCAGTGCTGGTATACAGTATGCTCTTAAATTCTATAATTATTTTCAAACTCAGCTCCCAAGCCCCTGCCTCCTGTTGTTAACTCTTCTTGAGAAGTTTTCAGCTTAGAGACCCTCATTCATTTATAGTTATTTTTTTAAATTATGGGTTCCTGAATCTGAATGGATTTCAGGGTAAAGAATGCCTTATTTTTATCTAAAATCTTGTGGCTCTATACGTTGTTTAAGGAGAGTGCACAGCTTTCTTCAGATTCTCAAAGGAGACCCCCTTTACTAACAAAACAAAAATACCATAGCGGTTCATTATTAGTTCACATTGTAAAAGTCTTGCATTTCTTAGGCTTGGAAAACATTTTGGCTTCTATCTGATCTGCTTTGGTTATAATTTGAGTGGAATTGAATAATTTTCAAATTTCAGAAACTCTGATAATTGTAACTTGATTTTGGTTTCTCTGCATATGACCCTACTCCTTAAGCCTCTGTTTATTTCTCCCAAAATTTTTTTTACTTTCTGTGCACAGGCATAGTTGCTTATTGAGGCAGGAGTGCTCATGATTAGATTTTTTATTTCTGCTATGTATTATATGGTGATAACCCATAGGTGCCCTGTGAATTTAAAAAGTAGTTTTGAGTGACTATTGATTGATACTATCTGGCCAGATACCTTGTTTGTTTTAATGTAACTCCCTCCAAAAGAACATAACTCAATTCTTCTGCTTTGAAGTAATCATTAATATACAGATGATGAAAAATCTTATCCTTGATGTTCATATTGCTGCCTTTGTTTTAAGTGAATAGCAGTGTTAAAATTCCATCAATTAAGTTACACTAAAATTCTTCATAGGATTCCAGTGTTACTAGGACCCACAAGACTATCTAGTTATCCTAGAAATATTGTTTGCCACTTGAAAAGTCTAGGTAGAAAGATTGTACTGCATTTTTCAGTATTAGGTTCTAATGTCTTTTTTCCCTAATAATGACCTTAAAACACTTTAAAAATTCCTTCTAAAAGCTTTAATAATAGAAATGGAGTTATCCAGGACACTATTCTGTTTTGATACATAAATCTGCCTTTCCCCAGTTACCTGCTTTTTCAGGTCGTAGTAGTACCCGAGAGGGAAAGTGGAGGGGCTCTGCTTTTGTGTCTTGTTTCCTCTAGAACATCCAGGTTACAATGCCACCAACTTTAAAAAGCATCAGAAGTAATTTGTTCTCCTCTGTTCTTTGCCCCACAAAGTAGCAGGGCCAGATGTTGACTTACCTGGACCACGTCCTTCACAGTTCTGAACAGTGTAGGCATGTTGCCTGACAGGAACCTTTTTAAAGGAAGAGCTGTGGATGATCCCTGCAGTGTAGCACTTGGCTCCCATGCTTCCCTGTACTGCATTTTTTGTGGCTCCTGAGTGATACAATTTTTTCTTAGTGAAATGGATAATTTAACCTTATTTGTACACTGTCCTTTCATGCATCTCAGGACGGTCATCCAGTCTTCTAACTTTACATTCTTCAGAGTATGTGGCTTCATTTCCTCTTAGTGCTAATTTTTCAATCCTTCCTCAGTCTGAAGTGTTTTTGTTCTCTTCATCACTGGGACCCCAAATTCATTTCATTGTCATTTGTCTAACAAAGAGTGAATGCTTTATGTATAGCAGGTGCACATTTTCATAATTTGAATCAACTCTGTTCATGCATCTTTCCTAAATGTATCCCTTAGCATTCTTAGGCATTCAGGAAATGCCTGATAAATACTAAGATTTTTAAATTTAATCTTTTGCACTAGCAAATCTGTAAGGTTAGCTTGACTTAGATTTTCTTAAATCTGCATTTATTCTTTTTAAGGAACGTTTCTCTACAGGTGGAGATGATACTACCTTTCTCACAAGGTTGAAAGGCAGTATATAATGAAATACTTATTAAAGCCTTTTGTAAACTGCAAAGCAGTAAACCTATATGTTAGTAGTATCATTTCCCAAATGGATAGTTTAAATGTAAATTTCACAAATGGAGGTTGGTGGAGGAGTGGGGAGGCCCCATAATTCTTTCAACATGGGCAAAACAACTAATATAGTTACAGAAAGTACTTGGAAGATTGAGGATTCCAAGACAAATGGAGGGCTTAAAAGTTAAACAAAAAAAGCAAATGCTTGACATATAAACTAGAGTTTAAATATTTATCTAATATACTCATGTTGGAAAACTACTTTTTGCAGTATTGCTGCTTTTAGACATTCCCATCAGTACAATTAATGGTTCTCAAATACGTTAGGACCTCTTGTATCATCTAAATCAGTTTCCAGATTACACAAATTATAGTTGTTGTAGTCAGACTTCAGGTTAAAATAATATTTTACAACTCTGAAAGTAGATCCTTGGTTAGGAGTTTCAAAACTCTTTGCCCTGTAAAATATCACAGTAATTAAGGTGTAGGTTTATAGAACTACTAAAAGGGAAAGAACACCACTCATTTGGGTTATAAATTTGGATCTGTTGCAAAATCAAAATTTTGCGTTTTGGTCATGCCTTGTAAAGCATGTGTTAAAAGAAGAACCAGAATATTTAGGAAGATGACTAATATAAAACCTATTATGTTAGAATTACACCAATTGAATATTTTGTTTACTTAATACCTATTTTTATGTATAAAACCTAGAGCCTGATACACAATAGAACTTGTCCAAAATAACACTGAACAGTCCTTTTCACAGAGCCTTTTCTCTATAATGTTTTTCACCAGGTTCTCTGTTTCAAGTCACCTATTATTTCATAGATCATGCTTTTCTTTAAAAGGGTACATTCTAGTCATCTGTTAGTGATTTTAAGAACCAATAATTAAAACTTCTGTCAGGAGGAGAGGCATAGCCCAAATCCAAGTTAATCTCTTTTCAGTTTGTATTTTATTTGCTTTGTAAGAAAATTCATTTTAGATCCCACCTTTAATCAATGATTTAGGCTTAATGATTAAATTCATCTCCCAATCTGGAGATATGGATTCTTCTCATCTCTCTGGTTTCTCATTGGTTTCTAGTTTGTAAACCCCTTAGGGCAGGGATCGGTTTCTTGTCCGGTGATGAACTCTTCCTGCATTGTGTAAGCATTGATGGATGTCATCTGCGGTGAATTATAGTTTTCGTTGGTCTCTGATCATTGCAGGAATTGGTCAGGCAATCTGAGTTGGTTTTCAGGAAATGTGATATATAAAATACTGCTATTAATTACGGAGGAAAAGCAGGCACAATACAAATAACTCAATAGATAATTGCTAAATCGTTTCAAGTTTTTAAAGTATATGTTTTTTCTCCCCACCAAATTACCTTCCTAATTACTTGGTTTAAGTTATTGCTTAAATCAATTTTTATCCTCCATACACATGATAGGACTGAAAAGATGAAAAGGAAAAATGGACGTAGTTCACAGTAAACTGAGGGCAGAGTAAAACCGAAGGTTGCACAAAATCTACAGGATGAATAATTTATAAGGAAGTAATCAAGAATAAACTGCATGTAGAAATAAGCAAAGTCACTAAACTATTCACATACTGTACTTGTATGTAATTCAGTATGTTTGAGATGAACAAGTGCAGTATTCTAGTATTACCATTTTCCCAGGGTGTTAAGAGCTTTAGTCACTTTAATTCCAGTTTCTTTTCTGAAATTACCACCTTTCCTATGACTGAGAGAATATATAATTTTAGTTAAAACCTGGAACTGCCTTCTGAATGTTAATATTTCTATTTTGGATAACTTGGGTTTGGTTTGGATGAGACTTCTTTCCTGTAAAATAAGTTTATTTGTGGCTTGGTCAGGATTGTATCTTTTGATAAGGAACTAAGGCTTAAATAAAATAGTTTTTTCAGTCAGCATTAGGTGAGGTTATTACCACTTAGAACAGAGCTGGTTTTGTATCTTCTTGATATGTAGTAGGTCTTCAACTCTCCTCAGTTCATGACAGTGTATGACCTCCACTATTTAATCTCTACACTTAGAAATTCAGTATTCAAGGGTATACATGTTAATTCCCAGATTTGATTGCAGTTGTGATAAGGTGGATGTATAGAAGTTTTATAGATTGTGTAAAAAAAACTGGTATGATGTTAGAAACAAAACAGGTATTGAAACATTTCTTAGATTGATTTACATCATGTCTTTTATATTTAAATCTGTTTAAAATGCTAACATTTGTTCTGATGTAAGACTTCCTCATTCCAGCAAAATTAATTTAAGCTATGTAATTTTCAACTTTTACTCTTATGTTTTTATGCTTAAATAATCCAAATGTTTAGAAATTGCTACCTAATTTTTTTTAGTATACTTTTTTATGGCAGCATAGTTGATATACAATATTTTACTGGTGTCAGGTATATAACATAGTGATTCAACAATTATGTATGTTATGAGACTCACCATGATAAGTGTAGTTACCATTTGTCACACAAAAAGATACTACAATATTATTGACTCTATTCCCTATGCTGTATTTTTTATCCCCGTCTTATTTATTTTATAATTGAAAGTTTGTATCTCTTTGTCCCCTATTTCACCCATTCCCCTACCCTGCTTCCCTAAGCAACAACCAGTTTGTATTTACGAATCTGTTTCTGGTTGGGTTTTTTTTTGGATTCCATATATACATGAAGTCATATGGTAGTTGTCTTTCTGTCTGACTTATTTCACTTAGCATAATACCCTCTAGGTCTATCCATGTTGTCCCAAATGCAAGGTTTCATTTTTTATGGCTGAGTAGTATTCCATTGTACATATGTATCACATCTTTATCCATTTGTCTATTGGTGGACACTTAGGTGTTTCCATATCTTGGCTATTGTAAATAATGCTGCAAAAAATACAGGGGTGGATATATCTTTTTGAGTTAGTGATTTCGTTTTCTTCAGGTAAACATTCCAGAACTGGAATTACTAGGCTGTATGGTATATCTATTTTTAATTTATTGAGGAACCTCCATACTATTTTCCATAGTAGCTGTGCCAGTTTATATTCCCATCAACAGTGCATTAGCATTCCCTTTCTCCCCATCCTCACTAGCACTTATTTCTTGTCTTTTTGATACTAGCTACTTTGACAGGTGTGAGGTAATATCTTATTGTGGTTTTGATTTGTATTTCCCTGATGATTAGTGATGTGGAGCATCTTGTCGTGTGTTTGTTGGCCATCTGTATGTCTTCCTTGGAAAAATGTCTATTCAGGTCCTCTGCCCATTTTTTAACCAGATTATTTGTGGGTTTTTTTGGTGTTCAGTGGTATGGATTCTTTATATATTTTGGATGTTAACCCCTTATCAGATATATCATTTGCACATATATTCAGTAAGTTCCCTTTTTGTTGATGGCTTCCTTTTCTGTGCAGAAGCTTTTTAGTGTGATGTACTCTCACTTGTTTATTTTTGCTTTTGTTTTTCTTGCCTGGGGAGACATATCTAGAAAAAAATAGCTAATGCCAGTTTTCACGAGTTTATTGCCTATATTTTCCTTTAGGAGTTTTATGGTTTCAGGTCTTATAGTTAGGTCTTTGATCTATTTTGAGTATATTTTGTGTGTGGTGTAAGGCAGTGGTCCAGCTTCATTCTTTAGCATGTAGCTATCCAGTTTTGCACTACCATTTATTGGAGAGACGGTTTTTTTCCCATTCTATATTCTTGCCTCCTTTGTCATATATTAGTTGACCATGTAAGTGTAGGTTTATTTCTGGGTGCTCTGTTCTGTTGATCTAAATGGCTATTTTGGGGACTGGTACCATACTGTTTTGATTAATATAGCTTTGTAGTATAGTGTGAAGTCAGGGAGTATGATACGTCCAGGTTTGTTCTACTTTCTCAAATAGCTTTGGCTATTTGTGTTCTTTTGTAGTTTCATACAGATTTGAGGATTGCTCTAATTCTGTAGAAAATGCCATGGTTACTTAAATAGGGATTACATTGAATCTGTAGATTGCTTTGGGGTATGGCAATTTTTACAATATTAATTTTTCCATCCAACCAGATTATGGAATATCTTTCCCTTCATTTGTGTTGTCTTCAGTTTCATTCATCAGTGTCTTACAGTTTTCAGAGTACATGTTTTTCACCTCAGTTAAAGTTCTACCTGATTTTTATAACAGGTGCTAATTAGAATGAGGCAGTCTGCTTTTGCCATATAGCTGATGATGGTGAACTGGCAAATCATGTGCCAGATGCTAAGTCAAATAAATAATTCATTTATACTCTAGATATTCTTAGTTTTTTAATGAATTTCTCAGAAAAGGCAATACTTTTTGAGGTGAGTTTCTGTTCTACTATATTGAATATTCATAATAACTGATGTTTTGTATGTTTTTCAGGATTGGGACCGCTGCACTGGCAGTTCAGGTTGTGGGCAGTAACTGGCCCAAGCCCCACTATACTTTACTGATTACAGGCCTGTGCCGTTTCCAGATTGTACAGGTCTTGAAAGAGAAGCCATATCCTGTTGCTGAAGTGGAACAGTTGGACCGACTCGAGGAATTTTCCAGCACCTATAAAACTAGGGAGGAGCTAGGAGAGCTGTCAGAACAGTTTTACAAATATGCAGTACAAGTGAGTTGTCTTTTTTTTCCACTCTTGGAATCCCATTTTCCTTTGCTGCCCTAAGATACGATGAATTTGTTGAGTAGTGAAGTTTTAGGGCAGTATATGCGTATGTGACTTAATAATAAAATTGTTAATTTCAATTTGCGCTTGTTTGGGATTGTATCTAAATCACTCTAGGACTTATTAGCCAACCCTTTCTAAAATTTTTCCAGAGTATTCTAGAGCTTTCCTTATAATGTCCAGTATCTCCAGATAGTTATTAACCCTAATTAATATTAAAGATTAAAATACTCCACAGAAGCTATTCTATTTGCCATTAGAATATGTAGACACCAAATTGTATGAATTAAGTTGGTTCAGAAGTAAGGGGCACAGTGAGGCAATAACTATGGAAGTTTAAGCCCACACTAGACTAATTTCAAGTATGGTTAAAACCTTGATTAACTAGAATGCTGGGAGGGAAGCATCCATTAAGGCATGCATTGAATATTTGACTCCTTAATTCTAGGTTTGAATTTTTTGGTCAACTCTAAATTGAATAGAAAGCTCCTCCACTCATCCCATTTTGTCTCAAAATACATTGAAATACATTATAAAATGTAGTCTTCTACTTTCTGTCAATGCAAATCGATGTAATCTAGTGACTATTATTGGCTGTATGAGGATCAGGCATTGTCTAAAGATCTTGATTATAAACACCATTAGTCACTGAAAAGTGAGTAGGGCAAGTGTTCACAGCCTGTGCTATTTGTACCTGATAGAGCATTTGAAGTGACACACTGCACTAGGTATGGTGAACAACAATAGAAAAATAGAGAATTTGGAGCTATAATTTTTGTGAGGGCTGAAAGGAAGAACTTAACTCTGAAGAAAGAAACTTCAGTTTGAGAACTGGAGTAAGTGATTATGCTATTTAGGAATGAAGGAGGTAGAGGAGGGAATAGAATTTCTCTTCCTTTTCCTGGTAATCCTTTCTCCCTGAATTGGTCTTCTGCTGGAATGAACACAGGTTCATTCTCTTGTCAGAGTAATTTTAAACATGTAAAGATTTTGTAATGACATTAAAGTATATTTTAGAAACAGTACCATAATTTTACTACCATCATGCATCTAATTTAATTTTTGCTTATCTTCTGGTCTTTGTCCATATTCATTCTTATGTCTTATTTTCATATCCATGTCTAATTTTCATATTAAGTACTTTTATAAATTTCACAAGTTGGGATATCATAATTTTATCATTCCTCCTTGTAAACATTAAGATTGTTTCTAATTAGTACTTTTCTTTCATCCCCTTCTACATTTACTTCTGCATCTCTCATCAATAATTTCCTAACTGATCTCCTGTTTTTTTCTCTCTGACCCATCCTGTTCAATAAGTCTTTCTAAACCAGTTTTGGGCATGCCTCTCCGTTGAGGAATAGACTTTAATTGCTATAGGATAAAGTTAAAATTGCTTATTATAACATTAAGGCCCTCCACAACTCTGGAAACCCCCATTTATACCCATAGCTCTAGGCACACTATACATCAAAGAGTTTCATGTCATGTTACTTCATATCTTTGATTTTGCTTCTGTTCTCTCTGCTGGGAATGATCTTTCATTCTGAATTTTCAAAATTCTTTTTTATATTTTCCCAAATCCAGTAGACTGTAAATTTGCCTTCACAATCCCTTATACAAACCTTTTAAATATAATGCTTATCACATTGGGTTGAAATTTATCTTACATGTGTGTTTCCCACAACAAACTGAATTCATCCCCTAAAGTACCACTCTGTACTGAGCAGTATATTGGGTCTAAGAGATACTTTGTACTCATAAATGCTTGGAGATTAAGATTTAACTGTTTTATTTTCTTAAGATAAATTCCTAGGAGAAAGAGTCTTCAAATTTATTATCTACTTCTCCCACCTGAACAGCTTCATCATAATTATACTTTAATTCCCTTGACCCTTGGCAGATAATAGATAGGTTCCTAAATTACAGTGCTTTGATTTGATTTTCATTGCATATTAAATCTTACTAGAGTGATTAAATGAGGATTTCATATATCATTTGTGAATTAGGATGAGCAAGTTCTGCTGTGTCAAGTACTCCAAAATCTCAGTCATACAACATAACAAAGGTATGTTTCTCACTCAGTGCTTCATGCCTAAAACTAGTGGATGTGGTGATCTACCTATTAGTATCACTTAGAATTCCAGGTAGATTAGAGATTCATCTCAAAACATGATTTTGATGTTACTGAGGCAGGAAAAGGAAATGTGACAATTTCTCGACTGGCTTTCGATGCTTTGACCCAGAAGGAACTGTCACTTCCCCCAGGTTTCATGGATCAAGGCAAGTCTCATAGCCGCATCTATATTCAGAGGGGGTGAAAAAAAATAGTCCTATCATGTACTCAAAACAAAAGGGCTATCTTTGACTCAAGCCCCAGTGACTGTCACAGTTAGTGAAAGCTTGCCTTTAAGCTTAATGTGACTTAGTGCCAGGATACACTGGAAATTGTTTTATAAAATTGATTCAGTCAGTGCTCAGATTCTAATTAACCCAGATGTCCTATAAAGAAAACCAACATTTCAGCTACTGATTTTTTAAAATAATAGCATGACCTATGTTAAATTTCCAAAATTGAGCAATTAAACTGTGATTATATAAGAGAATGCTCTTGTTTGTAAGAACAAGGGTCATGATGACTGCTGCTTACTCTGAAGTGTTCAGCACTACTTGTGTGTGTGTGTGGAGAGAGAGAGAAAGCAGATGTGGCAAAATGTTAACAACTGGTGAATTTAGGGGAAGGATACGTAAGAGTTTATTGTATTATTTTGACTATTCTATTATTTAAATTCTTTTCAAAATAAAAAATCACAGATTTATAAAGGCTTTTATAAACATTGGTATTATTCACTTTTGAGTCATTTTTGCTTTTCATTCTGATTGATATTTTGAAAGTACTTTTTTCTTCTGAGGCCTGTGAAATGTCTGGACTAGTCAGTTACCTTTAGGGGGGAAAAAAACCTGAGGCTCCAACATAAAAATGGCGATCTGGTAATTTTTAAGTTCAAAAATAATGCCAGGTTTCATTAAAAAGACTTTTTTTCCTTGTAGCTGGTTGAAATGTTGGATATGTCTGTCCCCGCAGTTGCTAAATTGAGACGTCTTTTAGACAGTCTTCCAAGGGAAGCTTTACCAGATATTCTGACATCAATTATCCGAACAAGCAACAAAGAGAAACTCCAGGTACAGTGGTCCCTTCTTGAATGCCGAGTTGCTTTGTCAATTTTTATTTGGATCTAGGTAAATTTTGAACTTCAGGTAAGAGATACCAAACACTGACAGAAGTAGTTAAATTGCCTTTTGAAAGTAATTGCTTTACATTTTTATATACTGAAACAGCTATTTTATTCATATGGCCAGTACTAGTAGTTTGCCAATTTTTGGATAAAGCTAAAGCAGAGAATAATAAAAAAGATAAATATTTAATTTAACTTAAATATATAAATATACTTCATCTGTGTTTTAACATGTAGAACTGTGACCTTTGTGTTTGGGTCTGCTTTATTAGAATTCTTCATAATGTTTCTTAAAATAGGCCACACCTCTGATGTATTACCAGTTTCTAGTTATTTAAAGTGAAATGAGATTTAAAGATACTGAAAGATAATCCATGTGCAGAATCTTAGATTTGCATGTCTTTCCCCCAAACTACAAAATTTTTCTTGCACATTTATTTTCATAGTATTAAGCAGTCTGCTTTACTGAATCTTGTAGAACATTTAAATTAGTTTTCACTGAAACAACCGTCCTTATTTTATCAGTTTATTTAATATTTAAATCTAACAGTTAAAATAGTGCAACTCACGCAGACGGGTTAGGTATAAACAAGAACTCAGTTCAACTTGTTGGAGCAGAAGAGTGCAGGAGTCACTAGAGAGGAACCTGGCTGTGGGCATTAGCAAGTAGGCTTTACTAAGGAAACAGAGAGGGTTAGCTACTCAGAGGTTGGTTAAAAGAGCTCCTATTCTCTTGTGTATATAAGAATTTATTTTGAACCTAGAATTTGTTCAGACCTAATATACAGACACATTTGAGACTATAAGGCAGTAATTCCCAGAAAGAATTGATATAAAATGTGTTCTGTTCTTGCTCCTGAAACTGTACACATGGCTTCATTTTTAGATGGAAACTCACGATAATTTTCATTTTTAGGATTCTAGTATTCATGTCAAATGACCTTGGTGATTTAATATAATCAATTTGGTTGTATTAGACATAGTGAAGCTGTGAGTATTGACAGTTGTTGTCTTTTTTATGTAACAATGTAAGTTGTGACTCTGACTGCCTAGTTTTTGGAGCATGTGTTTCTGAGAGAGATTCTTACTAATTGACTCCTGTTTCCTTAGATTTTAGATGCTGTGAGTCTGGAGGAACGGTTCAAGATGACCATACCACTGCTTGTCAGACAAATTGAAGGCCTGAAATTGCTTCAAAACACCAGAAAACACAAGCAAGATGATGATAAGCGGGTAAATATTTCTTTTAACCCATTTCTTCAGGTTCCCTGTTGTTTTTTTAATGAAAAAAATTGGGGGAATTAAGAACAAAGAAGAAAAATGTTAATTGTCTCTTACCATTCATGTTATTGATAAAATTTTGAATTTGGTATGTTTCTCTCTAGTCCTTTTCCATACATGGATCCTTTTTTTTTAAGCATATAAACATTTTCTCATTTTCTTGTCTTATTTTGGTAATCATTAAAAGGATAATTTACTAAGCCATTTCTCTTCTTGCTATTTACGTGTTATTTCCATTATTTTCTGTATTTTAAAAATTAGACAATAACTGAACATCTTTGAGTATCACTTTTTTATTTTACCATATGTAGTATTAAGAACATACCACAAAATTTTCCTAAAAGGACTGTATCAGTATGTTGTGTCATAATTTGGCTGACTTTTGTTTTTAACCTATGAAAGTTTCAATATTCATTTAGTCAGACTGTTAAGTCTTTTCCTGTCTTCTAAGCTTAGAGTCCCCTATCCTCTAGGGATATGATAAATATCCACTAACCTTTTAGTTTTGCTTTAGTTGATTTTTGAAGAGTATTGATCTTTAATCCATATATAATTTATTCTGCCTTGTTAATAAGGTGAAGATAGCAGTTGTGTTTTTCCCCAAATAGCTTTTTATTTTACTCACCACCATTATTAAGTACTCCTTCACTTCCCCATGTGACATCCTCATTATCATACCTTATAGTTATGTGAAATCCAATCAGTCTCAAGTGTACCTTGAGCTGTTGATTTTACTAGTTATGTGGGAGCAGAGTTAAGATCAGGAAAATACGTTTGATGTGGACAAGAGTGAAAATGCCACCTCTTGAAGGATATTGGAGATTAAGTGAAAGGTTGAGAATAATGTTAAGAGATTTGATAATTGTCATCAGCACTGAAGTGTGTGTTCACAAAAAGAATACATCATAGAGAAAGAAAAGCAGAAATGAAGGATTCCTCCCTTTTTGGACTAAAGGAGCAGTAGAATAGACTGAGGAGAGTGATGAGAGAGATAGGAGTAGCATATCTGGTTTCACTATTCCAGGACACCATTCTGTTTAACATAAACACCAGGAATATGAATTATTTCTGGCTTGAGGTCAGATAACTGTTTTATTTTGTGCAGAAAGACAAACCAAGTGCATACTGTGCACTGGGAGACACAGAAGACTGTAGCTTACTCTTAATAAATACTACCAATTGCTTAAAAAGAAAGTGTTCAAAATTATTCTAGAAAATGGTCAATCCACTAACCTTTTAGTTTTGCTTTAGTTGATTTTTGAAGAGTATTGATCTTTAATCCATATATAATTTATTCTGCCTTGTTAATAAGGTGAAGATAGCAGTTGTGTTTTTCCCCAAATAGCTTTTTATTTTACTCACCACCATTATTAAGTACTCCTTCACTTCCCCATGTGACATCCTCATTATCATACCTTATAGTTATGTGAAATCCAATCAGTCTCAAGTGTACCTTGAGCTGTTGATTTTACTAGTTATGTGGGAGCAGAGTTAAGATCAGGAAAATACGTTTGATGTGGACAAGAGTGAAAATGCCACCTCTTGAAGGATATTGGAGATTAAGTGAAAGGTTGAGAATAATGTTAAGAGATTTGATAATTGTCATCAGCACTGAAGTGTGTGTTCACAAAAAGAATACATCATAGAGAAAGAAAAGCAGAAATGAAGGATTCCTCCCTTTTTGGACTAAAGGAGCAGTAGAATAGACTGAGGAGAGTGATGAGAGAGATAGGAGTAGCATATCTGGTTTCACTATTCCAGGACACCATTCTGTTTAACATAAACACCAGGAATATGAATTATTTCTGGCTTGAGGTCAGATAACTGTTTTATTTTGTGCAGAAAGACAAACCAAGTGCATACTGTGCACTGGGAGACACAGAAGACTGTAGCTTACTCTTAATAAATACTACCAATTGCTTAAAAAGAAAGTGTTCAAAATTATTCTAGAAAATGGTCAAACAGGCGGCTATTATTTGAAAATGTAAGAATCAGAGGATAATATTTGGAGTTAGTCAAATCTATTGCTGCCTTTTTCCCTAAGAGTTGAAAAGTATTTTTTTAGTAGCTGGGGAGGTGGGGGGTGGGGTTTGCTTTAAAATCATATCAACAGTGAAATAATTGATGTGCTTTTTAAAAATCTCACTTTAAAAAAACAAAATACTGCATTTTCAGTTTCCATACTTTAAAATATTTTATTAAATTTTATCTGCTAATGACTTATTTAAGAACAAAAGTTCTTAAATAATTTAAGAATATATTAAAGAAAATATATTAAGAATATATTTAATATTTGTTTTTATAAAATTACATTTTTATTTACTGGTTTATGTTTTTAACTTTTTACATTTGAATGTATTAGATAATTTCTTGGGTTAAAAAAATAAATTCTGAGGCTTTTAAATTAAATACCTATGTATTATCATTTGGTCTAGTATTGGCTGGGGTTGATTCATGATGCTAATGATTGAGAATTTCAGAAGAGCACTTAGGTAGTTTTAAAATAGAATAGATTATGGAGAAAGAGAACACAAAGAAGGCCATTTGACTTGGCATAGAAGACAGTTATTGGATTTCAAGGAACAATTTCATCATGATGGAGACAAAAGCCAAAGTACAAAGTACAAATTACTGAAGCAGTTGGTGGTGGTTAAAGCCACTTGTTGGAAAAGCCAACATCAGAAAAGCCAACATCAGTGAAAGTGTGTAGTTAACTGGAAGGGATATAGGCCAGATAAAACATTTTGTAAGGAAGACAACTTTTCTGTTTTGAAGACAAAAGAAGAGAGCAATGATGGGAAGGTTAAAGATATTAAAGAGAAATTTTGTAATGTAGGAGGAATAATGGAATTTATTCAGTTGCTAGTGGTAAGTAGTAATGTATATCAAGAAAACAGTGGCTGGGGTAGAAGCTCAAAGACAGATAATTCCTGATGTCTTCATTATTTATAGTAGTCAGTTGCTTGAATGTTTTTTTCTCCTATTTTAGTGTAAGCATATACCAAATAATCATGTCCACCTTATATGTTGTCTGCTTTCTAAATTCTGCGCTTCTGTATGTGCCTGTGCCTCTCAGTTACCATTCTGAACTTTAGTTCCTAAAGATTTAGATTGCAACCATAAAATGTTTGTTTATTCAATACCAATTTTAATCTTACGTGTAACTGGTACTTCATTTCCAATTTATTTTGACAGAAGTTTTCTACTTTCTACTTTAGGTTATAGCAATACGCCCTATTAGGAGGATTACACACATTCCAGGCAGTTTAGAAGATGAGGATGAGGAGGAAGATAATGATGACATTGTCATGCTAGAGAAAAAAATACGAACATCCAGTATGCCAGAGCAGGCTCATAAAGTCTGTGTCAAAGAGATAAAAAGGTAAGTTTTAGAAGCTATTCATTCATTAGTGTTCCTTCATTAGTGTTTTCATTTTGCTTATTAATGTTAAAAACTATTGCACATGAAAACTTAAATCTGCTACTTCAGATCACAAATTGAAAGCTGAGTCCTTTATTTTATATTTTTTGATCTTCCTCTTCTTATATTTAAAATAGTCAGAGACCACTCTGTTCATCTTATCTTTCCATTATCAACTTTTAACTTTTCATGGCTTCCTAAATTCTTAGGTTGTAGCTGTGATCTGTTGATGCTTCTTGCTCTTCATTCCTCAATCAGAATCTGAACCTTAAAACATGCATAATACTCCTGAATTACCACCACTTTCACTAGTCTTTTCTTAATGCTGAGCATAAGTGATACAACTTTTCCACCTACAGTTAAACATGATCACTACTGTTACTGCCTTTTCATTATCTTAAAGAATGGGTCATACTTTGTTTAAACAAAGTGTTTAACATTTATCATTGTGTTCTTCACATGTCTCCGTTTTCCTTAGATTATAAACTCTAGAGGGCAGAGGCTCAGTTTCTCTTTGTACAAAATCAAGTACAGGGAAACCTTGATGACAGCATAGAGAATTTTAGTTGATTACATTTTCTGGATAAGCTCAGGGTTAAATAGAAAACTATTTTCCTTTACATACTTGTAACATAACTGTACTGCATTTTCTCTTATTAGTGAATTAATAGTAAATCTAATTGAATGCTTAGTAACACTTGACTTAAGTTTGACTTAAAATTTGACTTAAGTTTATAGTTAAAACATTAATAAATGGGGTGAGGGGTATTTTATGTTGACTGTGACATTAGTTAATAAATGTAGAGCATCTGTTGTATGCAGAACACTTTGTTAAGCGCTGCATTTTTATTAATCTGTTGTTAGCTTGCTTAATGAGCTGACTTCATCCTGATACAAAAAAAGGTATAATGATTGTGTTATGCACAGTTAAGCACTCAAATCTTATCGTGTAAAGTAAATCAATGGCTAAGTGTGACTTGGCCATTGCATACTCAGTAAGTAAATATTTTATTTTCTTAGGTTTATAGTTAAAACAGTAAATGTGGTTGAGGGATATTTTACATTGACTTTGACAATAGTTAATAAATATATAACATCTGTTGTGTGCGGAACACTTTGTTAAGCACTGCATTTTTATTAATCTGATGTTAGCTTGCTTAATGAGCTGACTTCATCCTGATACAAAAAAAGGTACAATAATTATGTTATGCACAGTTAGGTATTGAAATCTTACTGTGGTAAGTAAATGGATGGCTGAATGTCACTTGGGACTTGCCCTGTGAAATACTGGCACTGATACTGATAAGGCCATATTTCAAGGATAGGATCAGATAGTGTGTGTCTCATTACACACTCCTTACCCCCCCAGTTTGCAGGTATCTGTTTAATTTAATTTTATAAATAAATCACAAAACAAAATAAATGTTTTATTAACTAGACTTTAAAAAATTTCAGATTTGTTTAACCAGATATACATGATATATCTGACCAAGTAAAGCAGATATATTTGATTTTTCTGTTCCTATGGAATTCTTTTATGTTCTTGAACATATTTGCCATGTATTCTTTCCCTACAGACTCAAAAAAATGCCTCAGTCAATGCCAGAATATGCTCTGACTAGAAATTACCTAGAACTTATGGTGGAGCTTCCTTGGAACAAAAGTACAACTGGTGAGCCAACGCTAACACCTTTTTGCAGTCTAATTGTCACTCAGAACGCTCATGCAAATTCTACTGAAATATTTACTGTTAAATTAGTTCCTGATGTAAATTATTCATGGACTGAACTTATATCACCTAGGTCTTGGGATTAAACAGAAAAGAGGGTGCTACATGAAAGTGCCTTTTGCCAGATTTTGGAGAAAGTAGGCTTTTCTGTAATTGGCAAAATAAGTATTTCTCAGTATCAGTATTTATACTGATATATTTATATACTATATAAACTTTTATATTTATATACTATTTGTCAGGAGCATAAGAAAGCTAACACTTTGAGGTAGCCAGCAATAATTTCCAGATCACTTACTGCTGGCTTTTAAAGTATCTTTTTTTATGTTTTCTAAAAAAATAATTACCTATAAAGGCAGGATAACAATAGAACAGTTTTACCATTTGGAAGTATGTTTTTCTCCTGCTAGAACCTATTTAAAGAGCTTAAAAATTTATCATTCTATCCTTTAGTAAAATTTTTCCCTCTATCAGGAACATTTTATACCAGTTTTTGTATGTATTTGCTATTTATTTTCTCTTGGGATAAGAAATATTCAATTGTCTTTCAAAATTTTCAGAACCATTTTATTTCCATTTTTTTCTGTTATTGGACACTCTTGTTAAGTTTACATTAGAAGGTTTACAGAGTTCAGTAATGGATTGATGGCTTAAACTACTGTTGGCACAAGAGTTAGCTATGTTGACTTTCGAAAATCCAACAGACAGATATCCTGGTTAGTAAAACTCCTTTAAAAAAAAAAAGGGCTAGAGATTTTGAAAAATGTTAGCCCTAATATACACATTTATACCCCATATAAGATATACTCTACATACCAGATTTCAGAATGTTGAACTTTTAATAATAAAAAATACTTAGCTTTTAACCTAATATTGAAATTAACATAAGTACCTTTCTGATATTGAGAATTTAAAAAAATTTTTGTTTTTGTCTCAAAGAGGTCCCAGAATGAAGCATATTTGTGTTAAATTAACTATACTGGTGCAGTGTTATAGTTTAAATAGCCCTTTTTAATTAGATTTTTTAATAGGACTATTTAACACATTTATTAATGTGTATGTTTAGGTACTATGATGACATTGGCCTCATCATCTTCCTTTTGTTTTGACAACCTTTAGATTTCATTCCTGTTCTTAAGTCTTTGTTTGGGGAGGCAAGTGAGTTCTGAGTTGTGCTAATTATTCTTTCATGAATGCTTTGTAAATTTGTCATCATCCTGTTATCTATATTTTTGGGTTGTTTTTTAATTTATTTCTGTTTGAATGTTTGTATATAAAGTTAAAAGGTTAATTCACATTTTGTTTTTCCTTAAATTCTGAGAATCCATATATTTTCATGAGATTTTCAGTATTCTTTCCCTACAGACTCAAAAAAATGCCTTCAGTGGAAAGGACATTCACAGTACTAAACAGCTAGCCTAAAACAATCTGAAGTCAGGTTATACTGGTAAACTATATGTAATATGGTAGTTTGCTGCACACAGGAAATGTACATTTTAATATACATTGGACATATGTGTATATTTGTAATACCATCTTCATAATTAAGATAATGAACACATCCATTACCCCCAAAAGTTTCCTCATGCTTCTCTTATCCCTCTTCTGCCTTGGCTTTCTATCCACAAGTAACTACTGTAGATTTGTTCATATTTTCTGAAATTTTTTCTTAATGAAATGATATATACTCCTTTTTTTCTGGTTCTTCCACTCAGCATAATTATTTTGAGGTTCATCCATGTTGCTGCATAGATGAGCTATGGGTCAGTAATTTGTTAATCCGTTTACTTGTGGTTGAACATTTGGGTTTTCATTCTTTTGTTGGCTACTTCATGCAAAGCTGTAATGAATTGTGCTTGGAAATTTATTTCTTAATTTATTTCATGTTTACATGTCATGACAACATGCTCCCTTCTAGTTGAAGGTGTCTTACCAAACAAACTGAAGCTAAATTTCTTGGTTTAATTCTTAATTCAAAATTTTGTGGGAATTCTATAGTGAGATGAATGCAGGGGAGTATGCATTCCTTTTGAATTAACCTCTTATTGTCACCTGATCAGTTTGAGTTCGGATGTTGGTCTGCATCTAACTAGGCTGTTGGGAAAACCATTTTGGTCCATATAGTCTTCTGTGAACTCATAACTCTCCAGGGACTACTTTTTAAGAGAAGTGTACCTATTCTGTGAGATTTGGAGAGGTCCGTGTTCCTATTAGTTTTTAGACCTGGGAATGAAAGTTACATTTAAACTTTATATGTGTTTAAGTCCTCTGCTTTTGTTTCATCTGCCAAGTTCCCATGTTAGTATCTGTTTGATAGGTATTTTTATGTCATTGATGGAATCGTGATGATTTCAAACCTTGTTATTTTCTTGTTTGACAGTAGGTCTAGTACACAAGGTGAAGAACATCTAGATAACTTGGTAACAGCAGGGGTCTTATTTTGAAATTTTCACATTCTCTCAGTAATATTTTTCTGTGCTGCAGGATTTATCTTAACTAATGACTTAAGAGAAATGTGAGGTGCATATAGTATAATGCCCTGAGAATACTAAAATTATACATTTGAATATTTGCCATTAGTAGCCTAATGTGTTGCTCTCAGTTTCATCCCCTCCCCACTTGTGCTATTTATAAAGTGAAATTCATTTTTATCAGGCTTATACATATAATTGTAGAGATTTTTAAGCAAAATGTTTATTTGAACACAGAGTGCTGACACCCATTCTTTACTGAAATAACCAAGAAACTATAAAAACAGAGCAAAATTACCTCTTATCTTCACAATCAGGGAAGGAGGCCACCTGTATACCAGAAGCTCAGATACATGCTGGCTCTGTGTCAGCAGAGAACTGCATAGCGCTCATGCACCCTTCATGAAAATACTTCTCATTGTTAGCCTTTCAACAGAGAATTGAAGGTGGGGTTAACTTGTCACATCAAAGGAGTCATGTGGAGCTTCTGAACCATTATGGTATAGAATTAGGCCTAAATAACTGTTATGAGTATGATTACAAAACCATTAAAATGTCTTTCATAATTCTTGAAAGAGAAGCTTACCTAAGTTGAGATCATCAAAAGCAGAAAAAAAAGCAGAGAAGAAAGACTTGGAGGAAATGAATTTACTCATTTTTCTACCCTGAATAGAAAGAGCAAGTAGATAACCGTTTCATTCTTCAGTTGTAAATAGAAAGATATATGTTAAGTCTTTTGCATGTAATCATAAGTATTATTCACAATAGGAAGTATGCTCTCTTAGTCATTAAAAGGAGTAATCAGAAAAAAATGTATCCTGTATAGAAAAGAAACAAAATGATAATTTCTATAGCATGGAAATTATCTTTTCTGAAAAGTGTGAAAGAACTTACTTTTTAAATTACCTTTTCTTGGCATATTTCTCAGAAGAAATGTCTTCACCTTGTTTTCAGTTTTTTCTGAATTACATAGAATTCTCTTAGTTTATTTACTAAATGTTAATAAGAAATGGATGTTGCATTATAAGAAGTGCCTTTTTAGGCACAAAATGACATTTTGATGGAAAACTTTTTTCCTTGGATAAGGTGATATAAATATATTGATAATGAATAGTGACCCATCTTTGCATAACAAAAATAAATAGAATTTTGTAGAATTACTTACTTTAATTGAATTTAGAAGATTACTCTCTTGATAGACTTGATTTACTAGCAGTTTAATATTTAAAGCTCCAAAATAGTATTGGTCTGAACTTTTCTTTTGCGTTTACTGTGGTAGTTTTAGTTAGTTTCAAGGTTAGTATTGTAAAGCAGTTAGGAAAATCTTTCATTTATTCGTGTATTTACTGGTTGGGATCTAAAGCAGAAAAGGAGGAAGACATTTTATTCTTCCCTTTCCAAATTGCTCAGCCAGGATTCTGACTGAAAGCAATATAATTAAATTAGATATATTAACTGCTTAGCTAGGTTTTTGTAGCCTAGCTTGGGAACCAAACTACCATTTAAGGCCATTTTTAAATGGCCTTTTTTTTTTCTTGTATAATAAATATATAGCAATTTCCAGATCACACATTAAAAGAGTGGGTGTGTATGTGTTTTCCTCTCATCCTCTTCTTTCACTCGCAGTATGATCATTTAGCTGTGTCTTACCCCTGGCTGCCACCTAGCTCATGAATTCATTTTGGCTTCCATGATCTACTGTTAAACCTGAGTATTTTAAGTACTAAAGCACATCAGTAAACCTGATGAAAGCTTGGCTTTAGAAACAGCCTAATTTATACATTTCTGGTGAGACTTTAATTGATAGAACTTGGACAATTATTTATGTCTTTTTTTTTTTTGACCCAGCACTTTTGTTTATAGATTAGCTGAAGAAAATAATTACAGATATATGTGGAGATTTAGTTAGAAGGATGCACAGTGAAGCATGCTTCATAACTGTAAAGATTTGTAGATAAACTAAATCCTCAGCAGTAGGGAGCTAGTTAAATGAGTATGGATAATTAAATAACCACTAAAGTGTTACTGAACATGCATTTGACACTGAAAGATATCCATAATATATTAACTAAAAAAACATTTTACAGAACTTTAAGGCCTCATATAATCCCATTTTGAAAAGCAAGTATGAAACTGTGTTGCACACATGCATGCTACACACAGAACCTGGAATAATAGAGGGGAGTGATACTCTCTTGGGGACATGAGGTTATGAGTGATTATTTCCTTTTTTATTAGTGTCATCAGATTTTCTGGTATGAACATGTATTAACTTCAGTAATAGGAAAAATTCACTTAAAAAAGGAACAAAGGCCAGCAAAAATAGAATATTTAGAAATTATATCTCCACAGAAATAATGTGTATCTAGAAAATCATTCCAAAGAAATGTTTTGAGTATTAACGCCTTGAGTTTTAATTGTGTAGTACCTGCTATTTTTGTAGATACCAGAATTATCTTAAGCAGAAAAGACACCAGTCTGGATCTCGCTGAAATACTCATTTAGAAGGACTCAAGTCTGTTGTGTCACATCTTTTTTTCTAAAAAAACTTTTGGCTCTTCCCAGCCTTGAAAGGAGTTCTTCCATTTAAAAAATTCCACGTTTTCAGATTATTTCTGTTGGGTTATTTGACAGACCGCCTGGACATTCGAGCAGCCCGTATTCTTCTGGATAATGACCATTATGCCATGGAAAAATTGAAGAAAAGAGTGCTGGAATACTTGGCTGTCAGGCAACTGAAAAACAATCTGAAGGGCCCCATTCTGTGCTTCGTTGGCCCTCCTGGAGTTGGTAAAACAAGTGTGGGAAGATCAGTGGCCAAGACTCTAGGTCGAGAGTTCCACAGGATTGCACTTGGAGGAGTGTGTGATCAGTCTGACATTCGAGGACACAGGTAGAATACTTCTAGCAGTTCATTCTGATTCTCCTGCCATTTCAGTTGACTAGAGCCCCCCAAAAGCCAGTGCATAATATGTATCCTTTTCTTAAGGGGCTATTTATGGTAACTTCAGTGGAAAGGACATTTCCAGTACTAAACAGCTAGCCTAAGTGGTACACCCATAGTAGCCTTGATACTTGAATGACAATGGATAGCAAGTCTGTGCTTCAGTTTTCCTGGAGTCTCATTTGTATGCAATGAAAATTAGTTATGATTAGATACAATAATGTCTTTACATTTATTTGGGCCCACTAGCATTTCATAAAAAATGACCCATGGCTCTTAAGAGTTAAAAAAAATAAGTCCAGGTAGGAGATGGTAAGAAATCTTTGATAACAAATTTGTTGTGTTTGCAGTTTAACAGTCTTTTATGAAGGCTGATTTGTAATGTAAGAGAGAGGTTAGGATAGTTATTAAGGTCTATCCTTGCATTTTGACACCATTCCTATGAAAATACATTAAACTGTAACAACTATATCTCTCATTAATCTGACATTAAAATCAGATTTGCACACTACATTCATTGTTTCATTCTCTGTGGTCTCTCTTGCTCAGATTGGAAGATACTTTGGAAGAACATGTCTATTTCACAGTGTTAATTAACATTTTAAAATGTAGAACATTTAAAAATGTAGAAATCATGAACTATTTATAAATCAATACAGTGTACACCTGAAAACTAATTATATGTCAGTTACAGCTTCTTAAAAATTTTTTAGAAAAACAATCTGCTTAACTTCCATTAGAAAGTAGTTAAACTGAGGATAAAACTTCTATCTTCAAATCAGAGCCTTAATCTTTTTCTTTTTTTTTTTTGAGAGGGCATCTCTCATATTTATTGATCAAATGGTTGTTAACAACAATAAAATTCTGTATAGGGGAGTCAATGCTCAATGCACAATCATTAATCCACCCCAAGCCTAATTCTCATCAGTCTCAAATCTTCTGAAGCATAACGGACAAGTTCTTACATGGTGAACAAATTCTTACATAGTGAATAAGTTCTTACATGGTGAACAGTACAAGGGCAGTCATCACAGAAACTTTCGGTTTTGATCACGCATTATGAACTATAAACAATCAGGTCAAAGATGAATATTTGTTTGATTTTTATGCTTGATTTATATGTGGATCCCACATTTCTCCCTTTATTATTATTATTATTTTTATTTTTAATAAAATGCTGAAGTGGTAGGTAGATGCAAGATAAAGGTAGAAAACATAGTTTAGTGTTGTAAGAGAGCAAATGTAGATGATCAGGTGTGTGCCTGTAGACTATGTGTTAATCCAAGCTAGACAAGGGCAATAAAACATCCACGGATGCAGAAGATTTCTCTCAAAGCAGGGGGGGTGAGGTTCTGAGCCTCACCTCTGTTGATCCCCAATTTCTCACCTGATGGCCCCCCCTGCGACTGTGCCTGTCTTAGGTTGTTCCTCCCTTGAGGAATCTTACCCATCTCTGACTAACCAGCCATCTTCCAGGGCCATACAGGGAACAGAGCCTCAATCTTAAAGTTGTTAAAGCAACCCAAATTACGAGTGAAAGTTTTCAGATATTTATGCCAGTGTAAACAGTGAATAACTGTCAGTGGCCAAGAGTAGTTTGAATGCACATTTACAGTTTGGTGGATATGGATTAAGTGTGTATTGTGAAAAAGAAATAATAATGATGCTTTTATAGCATCTTATTTTCTTTACATTTGCCTTATTCATGAATCACAGACCTTAGGCAAGGAAAGGAAACTCAATAAGTTCCATAAAAAAATGCTCTCTTTATTCTCTTTTATTTGCTTCTTTATAATTAAAGAAAAGTCATTATAATATTTTAATAAATCAGCAGTTTGGGCTGCAAGTTAGGTCAGGAACTAATTTGGGTCATTCTTTCTGTCAAGTTCTGATGATTTTTTTGCCTAGACTTTCTTATTCTCACATGTACCACTAGAGGCTGTAGTTTGCTTTTGTAAAGAAATTGTCATCTTGGACCAATCTTGGAAGAAGCAGGGCCTATGGTTTAAGTCTTCAAATTTTAACTACAGAACTTTGGGGAAGTATTCTCCATTCAAGTGTCTTGATCATGCACTCAGAGTCATTTTTGTCTGTTTCTTCCTTTTGTTACCTGTAGCATAGTACTGTGTACATATTTGATGGAATTTAGAGAGTGAGTTTGTAGAATTATTGTCATGTGAAATTAATGTCATAAGTCATAAGTATGTGACATATAATAGTAATTTGTAGTTATTTTTTCCCATGATGGTATCGATTATTCAGTAAGTCTTGGAAATGCTTACTCAGTGCTGGCATATAGTGAGCACGCAATAAAAATTAGCTTTAGTATTTTAATTCTAAATTCTCAGGAGGACAAGTTGAGATTACAGAAGCTTCAGTATGACTTTTCAAAATTCATCCTGACTCTTAAAGTGTACCTAAAATACCCTGTTCTCAGCATTATCATTTAATTTTCATGGCAGAATTATGGAAAAATGTAGTTTCATGATGCCTGTTGGTGGACAGTTTATAATATAGTTCTCACCACTTCTTATGAACACTTTTGGGTCTAAACAGATTTTAAATCCTTTTTGACACTATAGATACAAATACTGTCCACTTTTTTCAAGTGAATATACTTTTTTGTAGTGACATTAACAGAATTGAATCTTAAGAGTCTTTTATAAAATGAGATTGTGTAGTTGCCTAAAACAGGTGTAAATATAAGTGTTTTAGAAATGCATGGTATGTATAGAAGTTGTGATCATTGCCAAATAACAAATATGTGGCTTTGTCAGTGAATCATTCTTTTAAGACTGATTTGCAATGCGCCTCACTGATAAGGACTCCGTAGCTATTACTGTACCAGATAATTTCATTAGCCACTAAAACCACCTACCCTTGTGCTATAGGGGGACTTAGTACCCAACTACCTACTAAATTATCAAAACCTGGAGAAAATTTTCATTTGAAAACCAGTTTGGAAACAAGTGGAGAGTGGGGTATGGTTGTTAAGCAGAGAAAAGTTGAGAGCAGAGTATGTGCTTACATAAGAGTTGTGGATTAAAGGTGAATAGTAGGGGAGAAAGAACGGTAGAGGATTATAGCACAGCCACGGACTGGAGTTTGTGGGAACAAGTGGTTCCATGTGACAGTTTAAGCATTTTGGAAACGCCCAGGTCTTGGCATTTAAATACTGGTCACATGCTCACAATTAGAGTTCATGCTGAGTTTTGTTTTTCCTCAATCTCTGAGTAGGCACCACTGTTCTGCAGTCCTAAAATAGCCAAGGAAAAACAGAGCTGCTTTATATTACCTCCTTGCTTATTCCCTTGATTTTGTCCCCCACTTTCCCTATTTTTCCATGCATGGAACACCAGCCTTTTGCTAGAAGAACTGGCTTCTGCAAAGGAGAGTGATAATAACTTAGAAATTGATTTTTAAAACAACCAAACTACGTCTTTTAGAATTAAATGATAATGAGATGGGAGATGGGGAGGAAAAAGAAAGACTGGTTTACATTTAAATTTTAAACTAGGAAAGTAAGAATGACCTGAGTAAACATTGGCCCACTGTTTTGATTCCTATTATTTTGAGTGGCTTAAAGGAAAAAGTCATGTTTATGTTCCATATTAACTAATGCAGTTTTTAAGTCTTCTCAACTTTTCTCATTTCATTTTATCTCCATTGGGGTTTTTTTTTTGTCCACTTTTATGCCACAGACTCTCTGTTCCCATCTATTAGTTTTTATTTTTTTTTATTATTTTTTATTTTGGTATCAGTAATCTACAATTACATGAAGAACGTTATGTTTACTAGGCTTCCCCCCTCATCAAGTCCCCCCCACAAACCCCATTACAGTCACTGTCCATCAGCATAGTAAGATGCTGCAGAATCCCTACTCGTCTTCTCCGTGTTGCACATCCCTCCCCGTGCCCCACACACACATTACACATGCTAATCGTAAGGCCCCCTTTCTTTTTCCCCCGCCCTTATCTCTCCCTTCCCACCCATCCTCAGTCCCTTTCCCTTTGGTAATTGTTTGTCCATTTTGGGTTCTGTGATTCTGCTGCTGTTTTGTTCCTTCAGTTTTTCTTTGTTCTTATACTCCACATATGAGTGAAATCATTTGGTACTTGTCTTTCTCCGCCTGGCTTATTTCACTGAGCATAATACCCTCTAGCTCCATCCATGTTGTTGCAAATGGTAGGATTTGTTTTCTTCTTACGGCTGAATAATATTATATTCCATTGTGTATATGTACCACATCTTCTTTATCCATTCATCTACTGATGGACAGTTAGGTTGTTTCCATTTCTTGGCTATTGTAAATAGTGCTGCGATAAACATAGGGGTACATCTGTCTTTTTCAAACTGGGCTGCTGTATTCTTAGGGTAAATTCCTACAAGTGGAATTCCTGGGTCAAATGGTATTTCTATTTTGAGCATTTTGAGGAACCTTCATACTGCTTTCCACAATGGTTGAACTAATTTACATTCCCACCAGCAGTGTAGGAGGATTCCCCTTTCTCCACAACCTCGCCAACATTTGTTGTTGTTTGTCTTTTGGATGGTGGCGATCCTTACTGGGGTGAGCATCTATTAGTTTTTACAACTTAGATTTTTATATTTAAATATTACATTTAAAGCAGTTAATATAAATGAAATATGAAATAACTTCTTTTAGGATGAAGCTTTATGAAATCATGTTTATATAATAATGTTCTTCATTAACTGTTCCTTGATGAAATATGCTTATTTTTATGATGTATCTCAAGTTTCTGTGGAGACTAACTCTTTGGAAGTACTTTTTCAGCTGTTTGTTCAAATAATAAAATATCATTGCAAGAATTCCTTGGCTCAGTTTTCAGATGAGATGAGATGAAAAATGAACTTTCACTTTCTACATTGATAAGTTTTCATATATAACCTGAAGTGGTGATTTTTTAAGTAAATCAGGTGTTTCATTA